AGGAATGGGGTCTGTAATGTATAAATAACATTGCACTTCAGGCACAGAAACGCTGTCTGTTGAGAAAACGGATCATTTCAATTGGAGCTGACACGTAGTCATACTGGGTGAAGTGACGATCCTTGGCAGCAAGTGAGCTGAGGAGCAGGGGACAGTAAGGGAAAGCCGAATACTTAGCGTGGCTCTTTGCCGGAGCCCACATCCTGGTCTGCAGCAGTATTTCTGTTCTCTGAACAGTACAGCAGATTGGCAGCTCCCAGCCTCTGCTCTGTTTTAAACCAGATTGAGATAGAGCATTTAGCCATAATGAGGTAAGGCATTTATCCTCTGAGCCCTGGTCAGATTTAGAGAGCTGGTGCAATTATGTGTTATTTTAATCTTTCAAACAACGCTTGCGAGTCAACTGGCACAAAGCCTGACTCAGTTTTGTAAGGACAACCCCTGTTTAATTTTTCTGTGCTCTTGGGTTATGAGAGATCCAGTGCAAGAGTTTTGGAGCGTTTTGTACCAAACAGGACAGATCATCAGCTGGTGTAAATAGCAGTGTGACTGTCATAGTTTAGATTACTTAGGAGTCTGACACAAAAGATAAAGTCTGCATGATATTTTGGCTGTTCTTCTTTCTCAGTGTTATGTGTGAATGCTGTGCTTAATGGACATGATACCATCTTACAGACCCTGCAGTCTATATTCCATACAAAAATACCATGTCATCTGCACTACTATTGCTTGTTGTTGATTTAACACACAGGTCCACTAGATCCTGCTTGATGATCTTTGCGATTAAGCAGCTTGAGAAACTAAGTTGTGGATGAGCAGTCGGAAAGAAACTGGTCCAGCAGTGCTGGAGTCTCAAGCTAGCTCTAACCAGGCTGAATTTACCTTGCTGCTTAGATTGCTGCAGGCTAGCAGGGCAGGGAAGCCCAACTAACTCAACTGTCTCTCTGCAAGTCAAAGTGAACATACCCTTACCTTGGAAACAGACATTACCTCGTGAGAGGAAAAGGTTAGAAGACACCTAGTGAAAGGAGGAAATGGCAGGTACAATGATGGGATGGGTTCCTGTTGATCTGGAGGCATAGTGAGGCATAAGATGTAGTAGTAGTAGATGTAGTAGTAGTAGATGTAGTCTGTTTTTTCATACCGTGAGTGGTGGTTTCTCTGGGAGTCAGAATTTCACAAGGTCACAGTGGGTGAGAAGACGGACATTTTGGTCCTCAGCAGGTCACACAAGGACAGATGAGCCAAAAGTTGGAGAAACATAGTGATATGGATGCCAGATAAGTATGTGTTTGCAATGTTGCAATGTTGTTGTCATTACTGAAAAATAATAAATAAATAAATAAATAAAAGTATTCTTGCCTCAAGATGTGTTCCAATAACTACCAGAAGCAATGTCTCTTTAGGAACATTTAATGCATACAAAGCTCTAAAGGAATGTATTACAGATACCCTAGTGGGAAAACTAGTTCTTCATGTATCAGGAGAAAAGTGACCCAAAGGCCATGTAGATTCTTCCCAATCCACCCTGACTATGCATCTTGTCTATCTAAAGGCTGACACTTAGTAGGAACGCCTGGAGCGTTGCCCGAGACCCAGTTAGACCATATTCGCTCTCTGATATAGCTCACTGTCACCATATGCTCATTTTCTGTACTATCCTTGACTATTCTCAGCCCTTTCCCTCTATCATCCTCTGATCAACAAAAAGGCTTTCTCACATCCACATTCACGTTTCCTGCTTGATTCAGTGCTAACTGCCGCTTTGTCTTGCTGTACAATTCCCTCAGGTCCAGTTTCTCACTGCAGTGGATGGCATATATGTTGATTACCTTTAATGTATTTTGCATGCTGGAATATCTTTAGAAATTGCACACATCTCTGAAAGCACTCTTTCTTTAAAGCCACCTTTTTTTTTAATCGTGATCTTTTGAAGGATTCCTAACATCTACAATGTTTAGTGCTGTTATATATTCATTTCGATCTCCTGTGTTACTTTCACCAGGATTTTTTTGGTGTGAAATATATACAAGCTTGCTCTGTCTAAATAAAATTCTTATTTCCTTCAGAAAAGCCTTGTGGTTTTAACTGAGAAATTAATTTTTGCCTCCTCCTGACTGTGTAATTTCAAGTTGTTGCATTAAGTAGATATGAGACAGTCTTTCCTCTTTTGTCACTAAACAATATTTCTCAGTGTGTCTCAGTTTTGCAAATAATAGAAGTAAAGTTACAACAAAGAGGAAGGGTGACAAGAAGTCACCTGCCATGTCCTTCACAGTGCTCTTAAGTCCTTGTCTACCGCTGTGTCATAGCTAATGCGCTTTCCTCCCCAGTCCCAGATGCATCTGATTCCCATTTCATGACATGCTTCCAGAAGCTTTTGCATAAACTATCAAAACCATATCCAGACTCTTGTTTTGTTCTGGTATCTGCCAGGTACTTCTCATCATCAAAATATTCTGGTTTTCACAGATCGTTGCAATAAGGAGCTCCGAGATCATAGGTGAGTCACAGGTTTTTAGGGTAATGCCACTTCTTTCATTTTTTTGTCTTTTTCCATAAGCACGCTCCATTCCTCCAGCCTTTTGCAGCATTTCCTATAGATGTATTTTGAGCTAAGATATGGATTGGTAAGGATTTTTAACAAATACATGTGGCTTTTATCCACTTCTGATGTCTTCCACTTAGACCTCATTCTCCTCTGTCTTCATCGGCACCCTGGCATGCACTTTGCTTAATCATACTCCTCTACTTCCTTTTTTTCAGTCCTCTTAGCCAGAAGATACTATGGTGCTTTCCACTCCCACAACGCTTCCTATTTTTTTTTTTCTGATTTCTTTTGACATAGAATCATAGAGTAGTTTGGGTTGGAAGGGACCTTTAAAGGTCATCTAGTCCAACCCCCCTGCAGTGAGCCAGAACATCTTCAACTAGATCAGGTTACTTAGAGCTCTGTCCAGCCTAACCTTGAATGTTTCCAGGGATCGGGCTTCTACAGCCTCTCTGGGCAATCTGTTCCAGTGTTTCACTGCTCATTGTAAAAAACGTCTTCCTTATATCTGGTCTGAATCTACCTTCTTTTAATTTAAAACCATTACCCCTTGTCCTATCACTACAGGCCCTACTAAAAAGTCTGTCCTCGTCTTTCTTATAAGCCCCCTTCATATATTGAAAGGCCTCAATAACGTCTCCCTGGAGCCTTCTCCAGGCTAAACAACCCCAGCTCTCTCAGCCTTTCTTCACAGGAGAGGTGCTCCAGCCCTCTGATCATCTTTGTGGCCCTCCTCTGGACCCACTTCAACAGGTCCATGTCTTTCCTGGACTGAGGACTCCAGAGTTGATTTGTTTATCACTGCATAGGTTCATCACTCTGCTGCTCTTGCCTGAAATACTTCCACTGATTCTTTTGAAGCTACTTTTTTCACCAGGTAATAATGCTTTTTCTCTGCATATTTTTTTAACTTTACTGACTGTGCCAAGTTTTTCTGCTTCAGGCTTCTCTAACTGCTGCAGCACCGTGGTTTCAATTTCCCGTTTTCAACTCTTCTCTTTTTTTTTTTTCTTTTTTTTACTATGAATGTTTCAACTGGTTTTGGACCTCCCTCTGATGCCTTTTTTTGTGGAATTCTCCATAAGAGCTTCAGAGTTTTCCTACTGCTGTGAACACTTCTTTGTAGCATATCCTTGCAAAGCTGGGATGTCTCTAAGAACTGTCCTTTCTAAGAATTTGCTGGGATTTTATGTGACTTACCGAAGCTGCTTCTTCCTTATAGCTTTAAAAGCAAAGGCAGCATACCCTCACAGATCTGATGAGTATATATATTACTGCCAAGGCTTGCTTGCCTTTTCTCTTGTTGCCTAGGTTATTAACATGGTCATTTGAGTCAATACACTACCAGGATAGAAAGAAAATTACTCCATCACTAACAGATTACCTCAGCAATATCCCTGCAACTGTCATTTTCCCCTTCCTAATATCCTAATTCAGCTCATGAGAAATACTGGTGTATGTTAAGAATCTAACATGGTCAACCAGCAAACATTCAGAAAATGCTTTCCAAAGTTTCCTTTCTTTGCACCAGTGCTCAACCCTTACCAATTCTCTGCAGAGCATCTACAAACCAGATCTTTTCTCAATGACTTGATAACAGGAAGTGGATTTTCGTTGAGATCTGAACATCTTCCACTCAACATCTAACCCATCCCAAACATCATTTCCTTGGAGCCACCAGGGCATCTTTAGGGAATGTCTTCCTTATATTTCCTTAGCCCCACTCTTGAAAGGGGCTGAACAATGCTTGCCTTCGCCCTTCAACTTGAGGCAATCCCTCAGCAAAGATACTTCACAACTAGATCTACTTAAACAATTGCGAAAACATGCTTGACAAGTGTCAGGTGCCTTTATGTCCTGTGAGCATTAATTCCTCTGCAAGTGATACCTCTCAGACTAATCTCCTCTCTAAAAAACTCTGTACCTGGGGAAGAATAAACCACTTTTGCTACTTACCGTAGAAATGCGCTGAGATGGCATAGACCTGCTCCTGTTCCCTGT